ACACCTTGGTCTATTGTGCTCATCATACACTCCTTCCTTGAAATGCCTTCCAAGCTCCCCTTCCTTCAAGACTAATCTCTTCCAAAGAAAAAAAAAAAAGGACTCATCTCTTCCAGGAAGCCCTCCAGGTTTCCCCCCCCACACACACACACAATGATCTTTCCCTCCAGTTGCATTCCCCCCACACTTACTGCAAAGGCAGAAGGTAGAAGTATACAGGCCACTGGACTAGGGATGAGGATATTTGGGTTTGAATGGTGCCTCTTCATAGTTGTGTGACCATGGACAAGTCGCTTACAACCTCTGTGACACTTGTCTCCAAAACTGATATCAGACTGTGCATACCTTGGGTGAGCAGCACACTTACCAACAGTAGTAATGTTAATAAGGAGTATGTATGGCTTACTTACTTTCCAGGCACTCGTCTAGTCCTATTACCATTACTAGTCTCATTTTACAAGTAGGGGAGCTGAAGACTAGAGAGAAGTGACTCTGTGCTCCAGAGCTTAAATCCTTAATCACTACACTATACTGTGCTACCCTATGCCTGGAATCTTTGTCCTCTGTATTCTTTTCCTAATTACCAGCAACTCCAAACTCCTACTTTAAATCTCAGGCCTGTGTCACCTCCTCCTGGAAGCCCACAGATCCTTCCCATTGGAATCAGTGTCCTTCTCTTTGCTCCTGCAGCACCTGTCCATCCCCCCATCATTTCTCTTTACATTTTCCTGACAGCCTGGACTGTGAGGCACTGGGGAGGAGGGGCTGTCTTCTGTACCTATTTCTAGTCCTGGCAACGAGCATGGTACTTAGAACAGAGTAGATGTTCAATAATTGTTAGAGGGAAGGAGAGAGGGGGAAGGAAAGAAGAGTGAGAGGGAGAGAGGGGAAGACAGAGGAAAACAAAAAAACAAAAGACAGAAGGGGGGAAAGATGGGTGAGGTGATTCTTTCAAAAAGAGTAGGAGGAAAAGTAACAATGGCCTTAGAGGAACCATGAATGTCTTTGTCCACGGCACAGAACTCAGGGCTGAGTAAGCTTCTGTGAATCAGTTAGACCCTTAAATAGTGGCTTGAAGAAGATAAATGTTCTCTCCTTCTGGAGGTGGGCAGTCCAGGCTAAGAATGGCCCTCCATCATCAGGGACCCAGATGGGTCTGTCTTGGGCTGTGCCACCCCAACCCGGAAGCTTTCATCCTCACGTCATCTCTGAGTCCAAGATGGCTGCTTGAGCTCAGCTCCCATTACCTCATCCCGAGCAACAGGAAGGAGGAGTGAAACAAGGAAGGTAAAAGGGTCCCCTCCGCTTTAATGAGTCTTTCTGGAATCCACACACAACTCTTCAGCTTCTACTTTATTGGGTAGAACTTAGTCCCATGGCATGCTTAGCTGCAGGGGAGGCCAGGAATTGTAATGTTTAGCTGGGCATGCTGCTGCCTAAAATAAATTCAGGGTTCTATTACTTAGGGGAGTTGGAGGGGTGGGAGCTGGGATAGAACATTAGCAGACTCCCCTGCAATCCACAGATGGGGTCAACCAGAACCAGGGCCCTAAGACAGCTCTTCTGTTGGTGGCCTTTCAGGGGGTCACTGGATGGTGACTTCTACCTCTAAGCCACGGATTCTTGTTGATAGAGTGGGCAGGGGTGGTACTTCAAAAGCCCTCAGTAGTTGTCATTCAAGGTTGGTGGGTTTTGTTCCTTTTAGGTACTCCTGGAGTTGTATGCTGCAATGATTTAGGGTGAAATCTGTCAAGAGTAATTTTTTCTCCCTATAAAAAACTTTGCTTAGAGACCTCTTCACTTTGGCCCTGAACTCTATGCACAACAAGAAGCCAGGAAGAGGAAGGGATGGTCTTTTTAATTTAACAAAAAAACAAAAACAAAAAACAAGTGGGTGGAAAAGCAGCATTGTAAACTTACCCACCACCCCCTTCCATGTTATTAATAAAAAACTGAATACAGCCTCCGACTCAAAACAGAGGCAGACCAATGCTAAATCAACTTTGCGCTAACCTTATCTTAAATAATTATAGTGTAACTCCAGAAACCTAAAAGAAACAAAACACAATCTAGAAGAACACAAATGGCATCAGCGAATCAGAGCAAAAGTTGAGGGATTTTGAATCATGCCTCCTGCAAAGCAGTAACTCCCAGGGCATGCCTCTGCTGGATCCAGGAGGGCATGGGCCGCAGTGGGAACACTGGAGAAGGGAGGAGGACACTCTTGGAACTGGAAGGGTAAGGAGAAATCAGGAACGGATGCATGAACATGAGCTTTTATGTTGCCCTTTCTCAGACTTAGGTCTCCCTGAAGGAGTTCTCGCCAACCTCTTTGCGGATCACTCTGTGACTCTGCCATTTTCCTTCCACACGCTCTATGAACATCTCCTCTCCCCCACATCCTCCAGGGGCAGTTCCTGTGGTGTGGGAATTCTACACCCTCCACATCACTAGTTCTTAAGCCTTTTGTGGGTTGAGGGAAGGATGCAGAAACCACAGCCTTTTTTTTTTTTTTTGAGAAGCCGATAAAAGCTACGGCCCCTCCTTAGAGAAATAAGCACACATACTCAACATTCGGAAAATAATTTCAGGCACTTCATGGACCTGTGGATTTAAAATCCTCCATCTTGAAGAAAATCCAAGATTAAATATAAAAAGACCATGCCTTTGGGAAATGCCATGAGGGATTCTGGGTTTTCAGTTCTAAACTATTCTGACCAAGACAACACTCCAACGACTCTGTGTGATTAACTGTAATAAATAACATTTATGTCAATCTACCACAGACCAGTATGCAGCCTTCAGAAGAACTCTATGAAGTGGGCACTATAATTAGTCCCACTTTATTGATGAGGAAACTAAGGCACAGAGAGGTAGAGTGACTTGCCCAAGGTCACACAGCCAGCAGATGGCAGACCTGGGATTCCGTTACAGGCCGTTAGACTCCAGAGACATTATTTTTGTGCTTTTTACCACCACGCAGTGACCTCTACCTCTCTGTACATGGAAGACACACACACATCTGCCTTTCTCCCCTAACACAGGTGTCGGACCCCACCCAGTGGTGTGCTGGAATCAGTTCAGACTGGCTCACAAAATTGGGCACACCTCTTCCCAGCTTCTCATTCTGTGGCCTTATGTTGCTAGCTTCAAATCAGCCATGGTGGCAGTATTTACACAAAAACAATTGGCAAACACTACAAACGAAGTCTTCCTCCCCCAGAGAGCTGTTTGTTAAATTCCAGCACACAACTGGACCTACCTATTCTCGTACCACTTAGCTGGCTGAAACCCACAGGTCCAGCAGCTCAGGCCCTGAATCGGTGGGAAGTAAGGAGCTTCCTCACTGACAGTGCCAGTGAGGAGGATGTGGATAAGCTCTGCTGCCCCCATACTTAGTGTGTGGGGTATTTAGGAAGAGGACAGCCTCCCTCTCTGTCCTCACTGTATGCAGGCCATCTTTCAACTGCCCTCAGTACCTTCCATCTGCTAGAACCAAAGGCTGGTTATCTGGGGGCTTGGGTCCCTTCTACTGGGCAGGTCCATATCCTTTACACCAAAGCAGATCCACCACTGTGGAATGATGTTGGCAGCACCTGATGTGGGGAGCCTTGGCTGCCTAGCAGCTTCTACAGCCTGCTCAGTTCTATACTCCTGACTTTGGGTCTGTGGCTATTGATGTTGGCCAGCCCAATCTCATTTAACTCTGCCCCTTTGGGGTTAGCCACAGGCAGCTGGCCCCTCCCCGCAGCCTCACCAGGCACTACCTCCTACAAGTACCCAGCAAACTACCCAGCTGGGGCCACGCCAGTCACAACAATGCACATTCTCTAACTTCTGTCCGCAGGGAAACCCCATGTGACAGCAAGGATTCCAGTGGGCCAGGCCTAGAGTGGAGGCTGCCCTGGTGTTCTCTCACCAGGCAGAGTCTCAGCCATAGGAAAGAAATTGGATGATTATGATGATGATGATGATGATGATGATGATTACCATTTTGTAAGCATTTTCCTTATGCCAAGAGCTTTATATTTCTTTATATTATGTTTTTTCATCCCTATAAGATCTCTAGGAGATAAGGCACTATATTAGTCTTATGTTAATAAAAGAAAAACTGAGATTCAGAGAGGTTAGTATCATGCCTGAAGTCACACAGCAAGTAAGTGGTGGGCTGAAATTCAAGGCCAGAGCTGTTTCACTCCAGAGCCCATGTCTACATTTCAATGCACAAGTACTACTCTCAGAGCTGCTCCTTCCTCAGTCCCCAGGAAAGTGTGTGAAGGGCAGCCCCTCTTGCCTCCCTTAGAGCTCCCTGGGGAGGTCCCTCAGGCAAGAACAAAGACAACCTTGGTCACCTATGGCAAGACCACTTGCCCAGAGTTGTGATCCTCCAGACAGGGAAAGTGTTTTCACTGGCAAGCATGTAATGAGCTCTTGCTGCACACACAGCATTCTCTTGGGCATGAAGGAAGTGGAAAGATGACAAGGAAATGGCATCTGCCTTCAAAGCACTTACTATCCAGTCTAGTGGGTCATGGAAACAAGTGTTGCCTTAGGGTGGGTTGTGATAAGAGCTATCACAGTGGGGACACAGGATTAATTCCCATAAAAGGATGTGGAAATCCCTGAGGTGGAGGGAACACTTGATCTGGGCTTGGCAATAAATACACACTTGGTGGGTGAAAAATGGGGAATTTGGAAATAAGGAGGAGGGACCAGCAGGATCAAAGGCACGGAGCGGCCTATAGTATTTTCCAAAGATGGTGGCACCAATATATCCCATCCCATGTGCTCCTCTTACGTTATGAAGTTAACACTCATCCCTCAACAGGTGGGGTCTACATTTCCTCCCCTTGAATCTGGGCAGGCCTGTGATCAGAGCAGAAGTGATGCCATGTGACTTCCAAGACTGTCAGGGCAGGCAATATTGCCTCCTCTAGGAATGCTCACCCTTGAATCCCCACGCTCTGAGGAAGCCAAGTGGTCACACAGGCCACGCATAGATGTTCCAGCGACAGCCCCAAGTGAAGTCCCAGCCAACAGTGGCATCAACTGCAGCATGGAGTGACAAGACTCAGAAGATTCCAGGTTCCAGCCTTTGGGCTGCCCCAGCTGACGGTGAGTGGAGCAGAGACAAGCCCTCCCCACATTTAAGCCCCGCCCAAATTGCTGATACATGAACAAAATAAATGTCGTTATTGTTTTGAGCCACTAAATTTTAGAGTCTTTTTTTTTCCATAACAATAGGTGACTGCTACAGGCCAGACTGATACTTCACCACCCCAGGAGAATGCTCCAAACCATCCAGAACACGATCTTTTATCTGTGTTCCTAGCCCCTAGCTCACAGTTTTGACCAAGCTTTGGACACCCCAGGATGGTCGCCTCTCTGATCCCCTCAGGCTGGGCCCTTGGCTTGGCCTCATAGCCCGCCCCACAGAGGACATTCCCAGGCTGCACACCTTCTCTGTCTCCATCCCCAGAAGGCCAAGAGGGCAGTGTGGTCACAGAGACACTGAGGAGAGGAAGGAGTCTCCAAACATAAGGGACAGAAAAGTCTATGTTCCCCTAATTATATCTGCACAAGAAACAAATGTCAAACCTGGAGAGACGAAGAATTGAGGGTCACAGTCTCTGTGACCAAGAGGCAGACGTAGGAGACCAAGATGGGGAGGTGGTCAGAGGTACCACATCTTGGGTGGACAAGAGACCTCAGAGGGGGCATGGCTCCAGCGCCAGGAGCCCCCAGAGAGGCAGCAGGGAATGGTCTTTGGTAGAGGGTGGGCATGGCTACACAGCCAGAGCATTACTGGGATACACTGTGAAATGCTCAACATAAGCAAGTGAATTAATGCATCCTTCACCTCCCTTGGTTACCTTATATGTATGTGTATGGTGAAAACAAGAATAGAAGATCTATTCTTGTGGCAAATTTTAAGTATACAATACGGTATTATTAACCATAATCATCATGCTGTACATTAGAACCCCAGAACTTACTTATCGTATAACCTTATTCCCTTTGTCACCAACATCTCCCCATTTCCTCTACTCCCCCAACCCCAGGCAACCACCATAACCACCATTCCACTCTTTGCCTCTATGAGTTTAACTATTTTAAACTCATTATATATGTCATATAACATAGTATTTGTTCTTCTGTGTCTGACTTATTTCACTTAGCATGATGTCCTCCAGGTTCATCCATATTGTTGCAAATGGCAGGATATCAAGATTTCTTTCTTCTTTATGGCTGAATGATATTCCTCTGTGTGTGCGTGTGTTTCTTTATCCCTTCATCCATCCATAGACACATGGATCCAATGTAGACTGATTTCATACCTTGGCTATTACGAAGAATGCTGCAACGAACACGGGAGTATAGATATCTTTTAGAGATGCTGATTACAGAAGTAAGATTGCTGGATCATATGGTGGTTCCATTTTTAATTTTTTGAGGAACCTCTACACTGTTTTCCCTAATGATGGTACCAATTTACATTCCCAGCTAGAGTATACAAGGGCTCTCCTTTCCCCACAGCCTCGCCAACAATTGTAATCTCATCTTTTTGATGATAGCCGTTCTAACAGGTGGGAGGTGGTATCTTACTGTGGTTTTGATTTGCATTTCCCCGATGATTAGTGATGTTGAGTGCTTTTCATGTACCTGTTGCTCATTTGTATGTCTTCTTTGGAAAAATGTCTATTCAGGTCCTTTGCCCATTTTTAAATAGGTTATTTGTTCTTTTTGCTATTTAGTTGTACGAGTTCCTTATATATTTTGCATATTAACCTCTTATCAGACAGATGGCGTGCAAATATTTTCTCCTATTCTGTAAGTTGCCTTTTCATTTTGCTGATTGTTCCCTTTGCTGTTCAGAAGCTTTCTCATTTGATGTAATCCCACTTGTCTATTTTTTGCATTTCTTCCCTTTTTGTTGCTTTTGGTGTCATATCCAAAAAAAAATCATTGCCAATACCAATGTCAAGGAGATTTTTCCTTATGTTTTCTTCTAGGAGTTTTATGGTGTCAGGCCTTATGTTTAAGTCTTTAGTTAATTTTTGTGTATGCTGTAAGATAAGAGTATGCACATTTCTTGGGGGTTTATCCCTATGCCTGGCATCAAATTCTACCTGCCTGGAACTGTGGCCAAAGTGTCCCCATCTATGCTCCCTGAGAGTTCAGTACTAGGACCAATGCCTACAGGGCAAGTGTCTGGCCGTTGACGAAATAGCCAGCATGCTAATTGACCGATAGATCAATTCACACCTGACAGACTGCCAGATCAGTGACTGAAGGATAGAACAGCAGCTTGGCTGGCTAAGGACATTGTTTGCATCTTATGTGCCTTTATCCCCACCAACACTTAGCACAGGGCCTGGCTCAGAGTTGAAGCTCAATAAATGGTTCCCATATTAGTCATATGGCTCACCTAGCTTCAAGCGATGCTGGGAAATGTAGTCTTTATTATATTAGAATCAATTACAAATCAGGGTTCTAGTACAGGAAAAACAGAGGAATGGAGATTGGAGGGCCACTAGTGATCTCTGCTATAAGGACACAATCATGAGTCTGGTTAAGGGATGCAGACACTTAAGGGCCTCATTTCCATCCAGTTCAGAAGTGAAACTGCATGGAGTTTGGGAATTCTGGAGTTACCTCTTCTGCAGAGCTTTTTAGAAGGCCACAATTTCTCCCCTTTATTTTTTGGTGTCCTAGGGAGATTCTGAGCTGAGAAGCAGAGAGAGGCTACCTTTGCCTTTTATATTATTGCTATTTCCAAAGGCCTGCCCTTGAGGAAGTATATGTAGTCTTATATCTTCTCTGATTATGCTCATCACAAAATCTTACTAAAGTTCCCGTTTGAGACCTGGCCTCTGTGCTCCTAGTTACTGTTCATCCTAAATTCTTTGCAGGAAACTCCTATTCACAGTCTCAGGCTTCAGTTCAGGAGTAAGAATAAGAATTGGCTAAGACCTGAAAATTCTCCCTCCTTGCCTCTTTGCTGAAATGGCCTCACCCTGAGCCAAACGGCAAGCTCGGTGTATAGGTCCTGTGCCAAATTCCGGGCCCCATTGCCTGGGTTCAAATTCTAGCTCTGTCACTGGTTGGCTCTGTGACCCTGGGCACATTGCTAAACACCCCTGCCCCCAGCCTTGGTCTCCTCATCTATAACATGGGGTGAGAATACTAATGCCAATCTCCTAGGGTTGTGTCAGTGGTGAGAACAGGATCTGGCAGGAGTTAAGAACTCAGAATCTCTTAGGTGTTATTAGAAATGTAAATAATCATTTCAGGCCTGTGTTTTCTGCCTCCCCAGCTTTTTGAGGGGTAAACAGCCCTGTCTTTTCCACCTCCTCTCTCTCCCCCAGGCACAGGGTAGAGAATCATACTGCCGGCTCAGTCCGGCACGGAGTTGGCATGGAGTGAGCAGGTCTGTGGTTTACACACTTCTCCTCTGACCCAGATGCCAGGCCTTCTCCTGTCTCCCCTCTCCTTCAGCTGCATCCTACCCAGAAGTGCTGAGCTGGCTGGCGCGATGTTGTGGGTGTGTGGTGCACACCTCCTCTCGCTCCACTTCGAAGAAGCATGGCGGGGTTGAGGACCTCCTACACAGGTCCCCTACACACATTGCATTCCAATCGCCCCTCTCCCAGAGCAAACGATAACGGGGTGAAAATGAAATTGGCTTCCAAGCTTCCCTCCTGGTTCCTTGAGTGTCACTTTTCTGCGTATTTATGGTAATCATCCTTGCAACAAAAACAGTGACTTCACTGTCTAAATAATAAGGCAATTTGTTACAGCTAATTACTCAAGGACTTCCTTAATCTCAATTAAAAGATCCGAGAGGATTCCTGCCCCCTCCCATTCCGGTGTTCCTGAAGATCCCCCTAATGTATTCTGGATCACAGATTAGTGGGGAGCCAAGAACGGTCCTTGCTGGGCAGGACTGCTAAAATCCATCCCAGCAACGTGAAGCAGTGATTTATTGTGACATGGAATGTGGGACATTTCCCCAGCTTTTGTGATTGTGGTAATGAAGCTGTAAACCAAATAGCATGAAATGAGGCAAGGCCTTACAATTTAATCAGCTCGTAAACAGATCTACTGCATCAAGCAAATGACATTATTATCCATCCGAAGTAAATCATGCTAATCTCGGGAGATAAAATCAACATCGTTAATGGTCACATGTCATATTCATCAACACTAAACCATCCCCTTTGACAGATTAATCCTAACTACAGCTCCCAGGATGTATGGTAATAGGGCTTGTAGCGTGCATTTCACTCCGTGCCAGGCTAACCAGCACTCTTAGGCTGCTATTACAAATAATTTTTTTATTGATTTACATATTTTAAAATGCATTTAAGGTGAGGCACCATTAAAAACCCTGTCACCCACCCATATTTCTTCCCTACATTCCCAGACTTTATTAATAGGAATGGGAAGACAAACGCAGTAAGCCTTATAAATACTTTGTTTAGGGCACTGTTAGGGGTAATTAAGATGGGGACTAGGGGTTTTTTTGCAGGGAGGAGGGACAGGTGAGGAGCAGAAGGGGTGACAGAAAGAAAGGACCCTCTTGTGGTTCAGGGACAAATGGAAATTGCGGCATCATTTGCTTCCTGTTTTCCCTAGAGGTGCCAGGCAGAGGAGGAATAAAGTCTCCCCCAAATCTATTCATGGAGCCTTCCCTCTCCCCCTTTCCCTCACAGACTACCTCCACCCCGTCAAGTCAGCCTTATGGGACGTGCATCTGGGCTTGCATTTTGGTCCTTGTATCCTGCCTGCTGACTTCAGATGCCAAATGTATTTATTTATCATGAGGCTGACCTAGGATGAATGCTCCTGGAAAAGTGTCCACTATTCAAAATGTCACTTCCCCTCAACAGGCCGTGCATTATATTGACAGGCATACTTTCAGAGGCCCCTGAATGATGAAGATGGATGGAGGGCTGCCATAGCAGCGCCGCCTGGGCTGAGTGGGTGAGTGAGTGAGCGAGTGGGTGCCCGAAGTATCTTCAGCCTCGATGAGGAGCCCAGACGCAGCGGGAGCCAGGACTGTGACAGGAGATGCAACGTGGAGACTAGCAGGGCTCCACTTCTCAGCGGCTGGTGGATAAGCAATCCGCCTTATCCCAGCCAGCCTTCCAAGGGGCACATTTTGAGGGGCTTCCTGTCTGCCTGTAGGGCCAGTAGGGGGTGGCAGGCAGGAAAGAGGGTGTTACCCTCCTCCTCCTCCTGAGTGAAGGCGGGGGGCTCCTGGGACCACCACTTTGGGCCATGCAGACCTTGCATTGCTCAATTCCATTCCACTATGAGGCCACCACTGAGGCATGCCCACATCACTCTGGATGAGAAATCCAAAAAACAGATGGATTTGGGAAGAACATATATTCAAATCAAGCTATTAAACTCAATTAAAGCACTTCTTTTGATGCACTGAAAGGACCCCACCTCGACTTAAGTGGACTGAAGTAAGACTCTGACATTTCCAGATCCCCCCATGTATCATATAGGTCTCCTTCTGCTGGGATTTATTTCAGAGGTGGGGTATTTGAGAGATACAACAGGAGCCTGAAAAACTGCCCAGCCCAGGTCTGTTTTATAAAATTGCATCTATCGATTAGGCCAACTAATGAAATGATACAGTGTAAATTAACTTCAGGGTTTAGGTGGCACCAAGTTCAAGTGATTGGAACCCGCTGAGCTGTCAGAATCTCTAAAGATTTTGTGTCTGGAGTTTTCCAGGATTCTTACCGAGGTCCTTGGAGGTTGTGCTCTGCTCTCTGGGGACCAGGGAAGCCAAGGAAAGACCTTTCCCTACCGCGGCTTGGTCTGAGTTAGTATGGTTTAGGGCAGTGGTTCATAAACTCTAGCATGAGTCAGAAGCACCTGGGGGCTTCTTAAAACACAGATTGCTGCCCTCCACCCTGAGTTTCTTAGTCAGTAGGTCTGAGGTGAGGCCAGCGAATTTGCATTTCTCGTCATTTCTCATGTTGTACTGATATTGCTGGTCCTGGGACCCAGGGCTTTGCGGCAGGAACCCTATGCTAGGGAAGGGTGGAGGGGGCAGGGCTGGAGGTGGAGATGGGGAGCATCGGGCTCCCAGGTGCAGGTTACATGCCCAGACTTGGGTCATGGCAGGCAGCTGGGGCCAGAAACAGGAGGTGAGGCCAGGAGTGGAAAGTTCACGTCTCTGCAGGGTTTCCTGTTCTAAGTTTCTGTGACTCTGAAAATACAAGTGAGCAAACCGGGACTGACAAGTCAGAGTTCAGAACCCCAGAGAGTTTTCAGTTCAAAACTGAAAGCAGCAAGTGCCCTAGAGGCCAGAGATGGCTGGATTCTAGCCAAGCTCCAACTCCGACTTACTGTGTTTCCCGCAGTCAATCCCTTTCCCTCTCTGTTCTTCACCTCTCTTGTCTCTTCTGTGAAGAGAAAATGTTGCACTAGATTTCCTCCCTGATCTTTTCAATTTCTGATAGGTGTGACGTTATGCCAGTGTTTCCCAAACAGCAGTCTGTGAAATCCTTGTTCTCCTTGAAAAATGAGCTGCATGATCAGGTAAGCTTTCAAAACATAAGCACCCTCTTGGATTTATAATTTATATTTGCATATTAAAGATTCTTCAGGAAGTCAGGAAACCTGTTTAACTTTATTTAATCCAGGATTTCCCAGATGTGTTTGACAACAGGACCCTTCTTCTACCTAACACCTATTAGCGCCGAGGTTCTGGAGAACACACTTTGAGAAACATTGGCCAATGCCAAGGGCTGAGGTAAGAAGCAAATGAATATGTCATCAACTAAAGATGCCTTTTCCCTAAAGGTGCCTGGAGGTGCAGACCACTTCCCCTCAGCCACCAGCACCTTGGTGCATTGGTACATTCAGCAAACATCGATTGAGTACCTGCCGCATGCCAGGGACTGAGCTGGACACTTAGCTAATAGACAGCCCCTGTCCTCAAGAAGCTGCCTGGCTGGGGTGGCAGGGGAGAGCCTAGACATTTCTTTGGCCTGGCCGGGAACTTCAGCGATTCTAGCCATGCTTGGGACCTTTTGGTCCTCCGTTCCCGTGGCTGGCATCAATTCGTCATTGGTCTCACTAGTGGATTTTCTCTGTTTAGTCTCACCTGCTTGTAAAGCATACAAACATGTTCACTCATTCATTTAACAAAAATATATTGAGCATATATTTCATGCTAGATACTGTTGTGGATATAGTTGAGAATAAAACAGGCAAAAATCCCTGTCCTCTATATTTCAATAGAGTAAGAAAAGCAGTGAATTCATGAAATTCATGTCAGATTATAACAAGTTCTAAAGTGGAGAGGGGCTAGGCAGTGTTGAGGGAGTTTTGCTATTTTAAATGGGGATGGGGATGTCTCACCGACCTTTGTGTAAGAACCTGAAGATGTGAGAGAGTGAGTCAGGTGGAAGAATGTCTAGGAAGAGGGTGCAACAAGTGCAAAGGCCCTGGGGTAGGAGTATGTCTAGTGTGTTTAACACACAGCTAGGAGACCAACGTGGCTGGAGAAAATGAGAGAGATGAATAGCAGAAAAGGTCCAAAAAAGATAATAGGGGCCATAATGTTAGACACTGAGTGGGACGGGAAACCTTTTGAGCAGAAAACAAAATTTAATATGACTTATCTTTTAATAGAACTTAATGTGACTTACATTTCAGCATCTACAAAATCCCGGTGGAGAGCCTAACAAGGTAATAATCAGTTCAGGAAGCTGGTTTCCTGGTGGAGATCGTGTGGCCCTTCTGCTCATGGCCTCACCCAGTCTGGTATGAAAGGGTAGACAGGGTGTGGGGATAGAGGGAGGCAGGTAGATGACCAGGGGCAGGAAGCTCTGAAAGCCAAACTGTTCTACATATGTATAATATTTCTACTCTGTGCCAAGCACTGTTTGAGGCCCATTTACTTAGAACCTTTTTGTGAACTTCGAATTAACCCTGTGGGGTGGGATTCCTTGATCTGCATTTGAGATCCTGTGAGTCAGACCAGTTAAGAGGCTTGCCGAGGCACCAAGCTCACCAGTGGCAGAACCCAGGGCTTCCTAAGTTTCATTCCAGTGCGAAGTTCCAGTGCTAAGTTTCTTTCCAGGAAAGCCTCAGCCTCACACTGTCTGGTGCTGGGAATGGTGTCTGGAGCTCCATCGCTCTCCAGGGCCTCACTTTGCAGACAGGTGAGTGACCACAGCCCTTACTGCTGACTCCAGATATTCTGTAGGTACCCAGAGTCTGCAAGGTGAGTGTCTTAGATTGGAAATAGACACTGAAGTGATGGGAAGTTACACGCAGAAGGTTTATTGGGCAGCGTTCTCAGGAGGAAAAGAGTGGGGTGAGGGGAAACTAGGAAAACAGAGTGGGATGAGGGGAAAAGTGGCCCCAAATGTGGTTGCAACAGAGACCTCAGCCCCCAAGAACAGCAGATTGGTGCGGAGATACGGGGGGGGCGGGGGGGATGGGCACGTGATCCAAGCTGGGCCAATCACAGACGGCCTCAGAAACAAGGGGTGGAGACCTGAGAAAGAAGTCACTCTGGCTCTGGGTGTCAAATCAAGGACAATTAATCGTGTTCAACCATCCAGACAGGAGCTGGGAAAGATATTTGGTGATGCTGAGATAAAAGACCAAAGCAGGTGCAGAGAGGAAGTAGAGGGAGGTAGCCCTCTCCTGAAGCCCTACAGAGTTCCAGGCCTTTCTTGATCCGCATCCCAGCCCTTAGATGGACACTGTGGACCTGGGCTGCTGATTCAGCTTCTCCAAGTAGAAGCTCAGAATTCTCTGGATGCTGCCTCTGTTCCTCCAAGGCTGGCCCCCATCCTCACACCACACACAGCTCTGATCCTCCCACTTGCCCATTTTCTAATCTCGGGAGTGAGATATTCTCTCTGATGGTTATTTTTTCTCTCCCCGGGTCCCTTTCCCTAAGCTTTTCAAAGTCAAAAGCCAGGATGAGCCTTTGTTTCTTTCCCTGTCCCATCTCTTCCCTGAGGTACACAGCAGAGAACAGGCTAGCTAGGAGGGCGAGGGCATTGGCGACAGACAAAGGGAAGGAAATAGCCAGAATTGTGAAAAATTAATAGTTCAAACGTATCCTACTATGAAACAACAGCAATTTTTAAGTGCCCTTTTTTTTTTCAAAAGCACAACAGCCTCTGGATTGTGCCATAAGCACCTTCCCAGGCGAGCATTGGTGCTCTGTGAGGCCAGAATGTTAATGTCAAGATCATTCATTCATTTGTGTGCCAGAATAGACAGCCAACTGCTTCCTTAGGAAAAATGCTTGTCTTGCTTGCAGATTCTTTTCTGGCCCACTGCCCGACAGAGGTAGGGTGACCATTCATTTGGATAAGTCTTGATTAGGCCTCTTAATATTCATAAAAGGCAGTCAACCCGACAGTCCCCTAGATTGACATAAAATGGGTTTTTTTAATTTATTATAAAAGAAATAGCTACTTATTACAAAAATGTTGCAGAAATGATTAACTTGAAAGTGAAAGTCTGCTATAATCTTACCTCCCCAAAGCAGCCCCTTTTAAACATTAAATCTATATTTATCCAGACTTTCTCTTCCCATCTTACTCTTCCAGTAAAACTGATCTGCTTCACTCCTCTTAACATAACTGTATTGTTTTCTTGATTCACCTTTTTTTTTTAAGATTTTATTTATTTGAGAGAGAGAGAGCTAGAGAGAGAGAGAACAGAAGCAGGGGGAGCCTCAGAGGAAGACAGAGAAGCAGACTCCACTCTGACCAGGGAGCCCAACGGGAGGCTCGATCCCAAGACCCTGGGATCATGACCTGAGACGAAGGCAGACGCTTAACCAACTGAGCCACCCAGGTGCCCTTGATTCCCCTTTTCAAAATAACTTTTTAAATCCAAAAGGAATACATAATTATCGTAAGGAGGGGGTAGCTAAACTATAAAATTCCCTCTCCCCTAAGGTTACATACTGTCACCAATTTCTTATGAATCCTTCCGGAAATTTTCTATGCCCATATGTTGTTTTATTATTTAATTTTTAATACGAGCAGAATCACACAATACCACAATACCTACTGTTGTGCAACCCACTTTTTTCACCTTATAATGCACCTTACACAACTTTTTCCAGCACCACATGTCATCTCCTTGTTCCCGTTGATGGCCGCACAGTGTTCCACTATACAGACATGCTATGATTTATATATCTAGATCTGCTTCTCAGGCACAGGCAAAACCTGCATTCCAGGTCTTTGTTGGAAACCAGAGCCTCAGTCTGAGTGCTGAAAGAAACCCTGTGCATGGAGAACAATTTGGAGATGAGGTTGGAGTTGGTCCTTGCATTCTTCCAGTATCTGTGTGTTGTTCCTGAATGAAGCCAGTCATTGGTGGATTGCACATTTGATCCACACCTTCTGGATCTCCCAGAGAGGTGCCTTCACCAGGTCAAGGCCCCGATTTCCAATGCAGGGGCCTTCACAAGCCTCACCCCTGACTTAACAGTGAGGATGTTGTGGAGGATGTTGACCTCTGCATGATCCACATTAGATCCATGCAAAAAAAAAAAAACAGCATTATTTTTTCTAAGGAGCTGGTCTGCTTTTTCTTTAAGGACTATGTGATGTTTGTAATTAATCACTTTTCCTATTTTCCTTTCTTGCTTTGGACTCCAGGAAGCCCAGAACCAAATTTTAGTAATCACATAAAATTTCTGTGCCTACCTGCTTGCTATTTCTTCCCCTTTCACCTTCCCTGTGCAGTCTTTTATATTTCTCCTGGACCTTTAAAGGCTTTGATTTTTAATTTTTGAATTAAAAATTTCTGTTTTGCAGAGGTATCTTATTTTTGTTGACACCCTTTAAAGTCGCCTCTTGTTCTTACTTGCAGGAAAAAACCCAGAGCATTAGAAACAATAATTTTGCAAGATGCTTTTCTGACATACCCCTTTCTGTTCAAATGCCTGATCCTCCCCTGCCCTGTTGATGCGGAGAGATTTGGAGGGTGATGCAGAGACCACAGAAGTGAGCTGGGGCAGCAGGTGGCCTGACAAGAGAGGCTTGTAGCTCAAGGACATAGGGCCAAAATGCACTCAGCTGTCTGGGCGCCCTTGAAATGAGGTATGGGGGCTGCTAGGCTGCTTCACAGGGCTTGTGACCTCAACTCCCAGTTTACTGGGCCTCGCCCAAGCCTGAGAAGTGCCTCTTGTCCTAACAGGACTGCCACTCCTGGGATGTACTTGGAAACTGGCAGCACCAACGTGGGATTTGCAATGCCACCAGAATCAGAATCAAGGAGGACCCTAGGTCTCCCACTAAATAAGGAGGAGGGGTGGCAGTCCCTAGAACCCAGGGGGTTAGATGCTGTCCTGTCACCTTACATGAGGAATGGCTGTGATAAAATAATAACCAGCAACAGTAGGTGACCCAGTTTGAACAAAGAAGCTGAGGATCGATGCTTCACAGCCACTGCCTGCTTTGTGGCTCCTTCTACTACAACATTATATATTATATGCAAATCGCAGCACAAACTTACGGCTGCTTTTCACGTCAAGTGGCTTCTTTGAGTCTATATGTTACATTTTACAGATCTTGGACAATAACATTTTTCTTTTTAGTGCAAAGTTGCTCAAGGTTCATCTGAGACTCTTTTAAATTGCTGCTTTCAGAGAAATAACAATGTAAAATGACATGATGATGTATGGCCCCGTCCGGGTGGCTGGGGCTGCGGCAGCCACAAACGCCACCAAACCTTTGGGAATGAAGCGGTCTCCGGAGCGCCATTGTGCAATTGTCCTAACCGGATCATTTTTAATTAGTTGCAATTAATTTCAAGTGACAGCGTCCTGCAATATCAAGTCAGAGAGGCTCGGGTGCGTGGGTGGGGTTATTATGAACAGACGGCTGGTGAA